TGAGACACCACCCAGAAGCAGGCGTCCCAGACACTAACTGCAGATTCATGGGATGGCTCTCACAGATCTTGCACATGCATAAGATGATAGATCTGCAGGGGGTGGGGACAGTGGCATAGAGGGGGGGCCGGAGGGGTCAGTTGCCCCTGGGCACCATGCTAGGGAGGCTCCAATTTAATCCCATTCTGCTCCCCCCGTTATTCCTTCAGTTCACGTGCTCCTACTCCGCCTGCCACCAGCAGCTGGAGTCTCCTCCCTGCCTCGAACCCGACCCTCCTCCATCTGCACTGGAGGGTTAGTGCATGTGGGAGCCCGGCCCCAAACTGTAGGGGTGGGGGGAGATGCAGTACAAGTTCCCCTCAGCTGTGCACCAGGTTCAGGGCCGTGCCACATGGTGGCAGGGGATGGGGAGCGCAAATTTTTCCTTTTCCCCGGGCGCATAACACCCTCGCTACGCCTCTGTATCCCAGAGGAGGACCCTAGTGAGTGGGGTAAGAGACAGACAGAGATTCCTGCCTCCAGCCCCCATGGGTTTTTGCCTGATGTTGGGCAGTCTCACAAAACAGGATTAGGCACCTGACTCCAGGAGAAAGGTTACTGGTTTTGGACCCCAAGCAGAGATAGGAACCAAACTCTGAAACCCTTTATCCTTTCAGCAGCATCTCCCAGTGGTTAAATTAGACTGCTCTCCAGCTAGAGTGCTGGCTTTTGTGGATCCTATTCTTAGGTGCCCATCCCTCCCCAATCACTGAAGAGGGACCCTAAGCACCTAACAGAGGCTTTGGGGAGTCAATTGTTCTTCCAATAAGTGAGGGAGAGTATTCCGCTAAGACAGAGAGGAGATGAGACTGGGTCTGGACCCACATGACTGGCAAATGGCACTGTGACTAAGAAAGCTGGGTGTGGGTGTGGGCGTGACTAGCCCTGAGATCAAAGAAGGTAAGAAAGCTGGGTGTGGGCGTGACTAGCCCTGAGATCAAAGAAGAGGGATTGTTCAGTTCACAGCACAGACACATTGTTTAGATCCCAAGAGCTGAGCTGAGAGTAGGCATGCTTTGTGAATGCCCAAGCACTGAGATAAGTGTGGAGAGTGCAGAACAGATACCATTAGTGCAGCCCACAGCTTCACTCCCAAAACCAGTAGGGAAGTGAGAATGAGCTACAACTAGCTACAAAACAGAAAACAGTCTTACCTCTGTACATCCCAAAATAGCCCTCTGAGCGTAGTGTCTTAACTAGACAATCCAGCCTGATGAAAACAAAACACGGTAATTTGAACTCATCTGTTAGACATTTAAACATTTCCTATACACTCCTGGAAAGTATCCATATATTTAGTGCTTCCAGTTATTAATATTAAAAGTGAAAATTGCAAAGGACAAATTAAATTATTATTAGAGCACACTGTATCCTTGCGAAAGAGTTTACAGCCAGGCGCCTGTCATTTGGGCACCGAAAATGCCTATTTCATGAGACACTGAATTGGTTGACACCAGGGCTTTGGCAGCAAAACAAAATGAGAGAGACAGAAGAAAAAGATTCAAAAGCCTGAAGGCTCATACTGAACTACTTCAGTGCAACCAGGATTCATGCAAAAGCACCTGCAGTTGGTAAATGCAAGAGACTACAGGAAAGCAACATGAAGTCAAATGAATACCCAGCATGACAGTACCCTACTGGTCTGTCCCTGTTTACTTAACTAAATTATGGATTTCAAATGGGGCTAAATATTAGCAAAACTGCAAACATTTTTGAAAGGGCTTACATTGCACAGACTTCTTGTAGTGTTTCTGCCACACACATGCAAACTCTGCTATCTTCAGAATTCATTTCCCAAGTTCACTTACATGCTTTTGTATGCTTGCTGTCCACTCCTCTGGTTCTGTAATCTGGTTTTAGTCAGATCAATTGGAAAAACACAGGTAACACCAATGATCCCTGCAACTCCCCCATTGATGAGTTTAGCAGGCAAACTGAACAAGAGAAAGTGCATATAAAATACAGCAAATAAAACAAGAATCTTTTAATTTCCCAAGACTCACCTGTCCTATGTAAAACCAACAGGACCCATTAATACTCTTTTCATGCTGAATTGGAAAAGCTCAGTATCTACTTAGAATTATTAACAAACACAGACTCCCTTTCAGCATTAACTAGTGTTTGGAAAGGTGCTAGCTTTTCAGTGCATATGCAGCCTTTGTTCAGTCATCACTACTCTCACAAGGCTTCTGCTCTGATGTTCTATTTCTCTGCAGATAGATTATATAACCCTTTAGGGAAAAAAAAGCAGCTCTGAACATCTGAAATTTCAGGCAAAGATGAATTATCTGAATAGGTGCAGGAAAATTATCAATTTTAAATAGTACTATGATCATCATTTTACAAATTATATTCACAACATCCCCTAGCATACTGCACACAACTGTAATTACAAATGAAAATTTGTGAAAATACTCAGATCTAGGTGCATTTGAGCAATTTAAACTCTGCTCGCTGGCTTCCGTACTGATCTCCAAACGCTAGCAACGCCCCCACTAACTGCGCTGCTCCTGCACCACGCCCGGTAGCTCCCCGGCACCACCCGACCCACCGACTCTGTCTCTGGAACTGCCCAAGGGAACGCGTCTGGGTCACTCCGAAGGGTCCGTTCCGCAGAGCGGCCGCTGGGCCCCGCGCTCCTCCCCGCCGCCCAGCAGCGCCCCGGGAGCGGGCCCCCGCCCGGCACGTGCAGCTGGGGTGGAAAGGGGGCGTGGCAACCCGTGGGATTCGGTCACGCGCCCAACAATCTCAGCTCCCCGACTACTGCTAGCCCCACCCTTCCCGCCGTGGATACTGTGCGCATGCGCAGCGTCCGCTGCCTAGCGCTGGCGGAAGGGTGTGAGTGACAGGCGCGGTAGGCTCTAAGCTCCAC